TTCTTTCACTGAACATTTCGGATTAATCTTAAACTTCTGGAAGAGCTTTTTAGAAATCCCACCCTATTATCAATATATTGGAGTGGAGGAAAGCAGGTAGACCTAACGCTTTAACTTCAGAGTATTATCTGATGAAGAAGGGCACAGCTTTGCTCACCCAAATGCACACTATTCTAATTTTATTTTCTAGGGCATGTGTTGGCCTTACTTAGCCCTATTTTGCTTCTGTTCCTTTTCCTTCCTGCGATGTTGTATTGGCTTTGTGTCCTTGCTGTTTGTGTCCAGGTTATGTTTTTCATTACACTTTGTAAGTATGTCTTGTTTATTTGATGTACCTGTGTTTCTGATTTGTTTTCTTGGTTCTTTTTCACCCTTTGGCCACAGTGTGGCATGCAGGGCATCTGAGCACTGGGACACCAGCAGAGAAATTTCTCAGAAAGCCCCAGGAGAACTTCTCTCAGAGGGTGAGGGAAGAGGAGTAGCAAGGGAGGGGTGATGAAATGCTACTTGCCTTTACAACAGGATATTTATTTGTAGAATTAGTAGGAAAATCCATCCTGATCTCTGGTCTTGATGTGTCAAATGACAGCTCAGGCATTGTACACAAAGAGCAGAGAGACAGAAAGGCTGGGGAGATGGGTTGTTTTGTGGTTTTTTTGTGGGTGTTTTTTGAAAGAGCAAGAGGTATTTAAAAGAAGAGTGTGATATTTTCAGCCCAACAGGCGGAAATAGGGCTAAGATAATATGCATGATGGTCATTGCGTGTGTAGGCAATGTAGGTGTGTAGGGACTCTGACAGAGAAATGAAGACCACTGTTTCCAGTGATGGCCCTGGTAGCAGAGTTCCTTCTTCATCGGAAGCTATGCAGAGCACTGCATGCTGGCTTCATGTGAACAGGGTTTAGGAGGCTTGTATTTAGGTGAACAAATTAAGTCTATATTCTCATAGCAAAGCATCCCAGTGCAAGCTCCATAAGCATGCAGTGAAATTTATGGGCATATAAAAAAATAATTATGGACTAATATTCCGTATCTGTCCAATTATGGACTGGTGTTCTGATTTTCCATCAGATATATGCCAGAAACATCAGGGAATATGCAGCACTGCATATAATGCAGATCAGTACCTGTATCCTGGACTGCCCCAAATCAAAGATGACATGTTTGCTAAAGGTTTCATGCAAACCTGTTATCCACCAGGGTCTACATTATGCTGCAGTGACAGCCCTTTTCTATTCACATAACTATGACCTCCACTGAGCAAATAGAAGATTCATATGTGACCAGGATCTCAGACTTCTGCAAAGTTCAAGTGAGCAAAGTTGTGAATGACATCTGTCATGGGAGCATGTGACAGGTGATGTAGCACACCAAACAACTTATCTAGGCTTGAGTTGTCCAGACTTCAGAGGATACTGGTTATGTTCTTGAACACTAAGACTGCAGTGTAGAGACATTGAAGGTAAATTAATGCCAGGCACTTGACACAGTTTGTTGAGGATGGCCCATTCCATATGGATGTTCTGTACCTACTACTGATTACAACAGTGTAAAGGAAAATGAGATGTCACACCCTTTCTCCTCCAGAAATGTCATTTCTGTGTGTTAGAGTCTGCAAGGCTGAGGTTATGACCCTGTCTGCTATAAGGGATTGTCCGCAGCCACTGTCAGTGACAAAATCCTGCTCAAACTTCTGGCCTATGTTGTGCATAACGTCTGGTAGTGTATAAGATGCTGGGTGATAGATGCTAAGTGGTTGGTCAGCTTGGTCAAAGATCATGGTCCAAGAAAGTGCTGTTGTGGGAAGGTAGAGAAGCCAAAGACATCTGTTTTGACTTTTGCTACATGTGTGAGGACAAAATTAATGTTCTGTTGTCAAATGAGGGTCAGCAGCTGTGGATTCAGTTTGGTGTGAGTGACTCGTCTTGACAAATTCAAGACCAAACTCAGCCCTGGCTATCAAAGATTATAGAGATGCAGTCCAAAGCATTACCTGCTTCTTGAGAGGTTCCTGGCAGTAAAAATCCCTCTCTTCAATCTTTCCCACATTTCAGTGTAGAACCGAGGATTTTAAAATCATCACTGGCAAAGATAAGCACAGTACTGACTTTTCTGGACCTACCTAGTAATTTTAGCTGCTCAGTAAGCGATTAGCCTGGACAGTGGGGGTTTTGCAGACTTTTTTTAATTATTATTATTTTTATCCTTCAAAAGACAACCTTGTGTCTTGAAAAGTATGAGGTAGGTTGTAAAATGTGTGTTATTATAGTTGCACAGGGCATATAATCATTGAATACAGTAAGCTAGAATTAGAAGTGAAATATAAAAGTGAATTTCCTCTGAAACAGAGATGGAAGTTGTGTTTCTTAATGTCTGGTACAGAGAAGAGTCAATCCTCACTTGCTTTCCCCCTCATAGCCCTCCTGTAAGCAGAAGATGGATAGGTCCTGCCAGCAATGCTGTGAATAGTTTGATAGCATAGCTTTTTCTCAGTAGTCTGCGTTTGCAGAATAAAGGGCAAAGTACACTGGCCTAAATATTGCAGGGTAGTTCACACTGGTTCATCTGATACAATTATGTCAAGTTAAATGAAATACTGAGCTTCTCTTAATCCCCAGGACACTGGGGCGATGATGCACTTTCACAAGAAGTGAACTGAACTCTAACCCACACAAACTCAGTTTATAACAACTCCAAAAGCATGTATTGAACTTCTTGCTGTGTTCCAGTGTCATAGGTCAAAAATACAACTGAGTGCTAATTATGCTGCTTAATCCAGCCATTTCAAAAAATCTATTTCTAACTTATTGGTTTCACATTTCCTTATTCCATTAGCAGTCAATTTTCTTCTCTCTTCCCTCCCTATTTGACATTTCAGAATGAATAACAAAGCACTTTTTTAAGTGCATACGCATTTCCTCAAGGAAATCAGGGCTTGAACACACACACTGGTCTTTGCATGCATGCCAATGAAGCATGCACAAAAATATGTTTGCCTTTGCTTGCATACATGCCAAAGCCTGACATTCCATGCTTTGAACTCCTTCTCCAAAAGGTGAATGCATAATTCAAGAGGACTGAACAAGAATAGTGTTGAGCATAACTTCTGGGTACATGGTTCCCATAGCAAACTAGGTAGACTTGGATTATGGTTCTAAACTAACCATGCAGCAGGAGATATGGGTTCCTCAGAAAGAGGATGAGGAAAACCAGTGTGCCCAGCAGCAAGGGCACTCTGCACTGGCTGGCAGGCAAGCACTGAGGACTGTTCTTTCTGGAGAACCTTTCAGCTGAAGGGACAACATTTACTTCCATGTGGATTTCAGATATGAAGGTGAAATAGGTGGAAAAAAGCCACCTTTGAGGGTCTCAAGAGACTATATACAAGAGAAAAACACTGTAATGAATTGCCTTTCTGAAGTGAACCATTCTGGGTACGTGCCAAAGTGGAGCTTGTAGAAAAACCAGTCGGGTTTAAGTACTGACAGGTGAAATGGTAGCTAAGCAAATGTTTTGGGGATAAGCAGGCTTGAATATTGCTTAGGTCTAATTAAGTCTAATGTGCCTCATTTGAGTTTTTTGTCTTGCCCAGATGCTGGTAATACACTCAAGGGATACTGTTATGGTGCCAACCACGGTGTTGAGTATAACTGAATTTATTTATTAAGAATAAAAATAAATGTTCAAAGGTAAAAGTGGTAGCAATCGTTTCATTTTGTGTCTCATTATATTGTGAAAAAGCACAGTCCATCATGGAACAGAAGAATAATGTTTAGGAGTCCAAATGTGTATACTACTGCATATGTGCATATTTATTTTCCCTTCCTACACAGACACAGCCAAGGCTGATGTATAGAAAGAACTATGCATAGACTGGTATCCTGTGACTACTGGTGTACTGATTTTTCTTTTACTCTGTTGAGTATTTGTCCTGTTTGGAAGTGTCATGGGAAATAGACTTCGTGTTGTTTTACAGCCTTCAGTAGCTGAAGAAAATGAGACTTTATTGCTGTAGAAAAAAACCTCTACCCTGCCACAATTATTTAGCTGTGTGTGTGCATTCAGGTGTTGATATGCCCCTATTATAGCAGAGACTTACTGACAGCTGTGGCTACGGGAGAAGCCTTGCTCCCCCTCAAATTACCGGCTAAATTTGCCTGCTTCCACAGTACCAGGAATTCAATCAGTCATTGCTGCCAACTCTGAAGGATATCACCAAAGTGCTGCTGGAAATGATGCAGTGCTATTTTGGGGGGGATAACTTAGAAAGATATTTTCTTAAATGCCATATTGCAAAACTGTATGAATTAACCAAATGTGTCTTCTGGAATTCTCATAGCATTCATATGGAGGCTTTATTACTTTTGTAATTCACTCTTCACTGACTTCTTATAAATGCCATAAGATATATTTAAAACTTGTGCAAAGGATATCTTAGGAGACATGAAGCAAAATCAACCCCCAGAATTTACTAAAGATTAATTTAGTGCAATGAACATTTTTCATACAGACGTGTTTCTATATAAAAATTAGACTTCACGGTTAGTCTCCAATAGCTCCTACAGCTGAAAAAAGATCTTTCAAAGGTTCCAATGTCTTTGGTGCTTTAGAAAATGTTCTCTCAAATTGTTCATTTGAATCTGGCCTAGATCATACAGTCCTTGGTACATTGCTATAGTTTACTTCTTCATTCTTTTACTTAATTGGTTTGCATCTTCAGTGAAAAATATGGAATAAAGAACAAGAGTAATTCACTCCAGCCTGATTTTGCAGAATCCTTAACACTAGCTCCTAAATTTCTTTTTACTAAGGATACAGCTGACTGCATTCCTATTTTGAATTAAATGATTTGTTTGTACACTTAATTGTCTTCAATCTCTTTTCATCAGCAGAAAAGTGTTGCTAAAGCACTAGTTGACCATTAGAAGACAGATAAAATAGAATGATGCATCTTCATTAGTATCATATTCTCTCTGAACTATTTTTTTTTCCCCTTACAGGACGGTTCTATTTACACTGACCTCTGTAGTTGTGCTTGTCATCACTACTGACTGGATCAGCTGGGACAAGCTTAATCGTGGATTTCTGCCAAGTGATGAAGTCTCAAGAGCCTTCTTGGCTTCTTTCATCTTGGTGTTTGACCTTCTTATTGTCATGCAGGTACACTCTTCTAATCTTTCATTCAAGCTGCTGAGCCTGCCTAGTCACTCTATTTCCTCTAGAGCAAACGGTGTTTAGCTAATGCAACATAAAGGTAAAAAAATGTTTGGCTTGCAATGGCTATTAGTATTAACCATAGTAAACCATTTTCAGTGTCCCTGCAAAAAAGGCCACTGGCCTTTTATTGCAAAAAAAAAAAAAAGGTGATTTGTCTTCTCAGATTAGCAGGAAAGCACTGCATGGCTTTCCAAATTAGAATGTGTTTTCTGAAAAAATTACCCCAGAAAAAGAGATGGAAGCTAGTTGTTCTGTAAATTCAAAGTTTCTCATAGGAAAATGAGAGATATTTGAGATATTTGGCGAAACAAGAAAGAAAGACTTCCATATTTCAAGCACTTATAATATTAGGCATATACACAGTCCCGCATCTTAATAGATGTATATCAGTATTTTCTACTAAGACTCTACCTTCCACTTTCACATGAAGATTTCTTTACCTTGATGACAGGTCCATGTACCGTAATGTCTTCTGCCAGTGAGGTTAACAGGGGAGATGATTCCCTGTAGTCTGCCTGATGTCTTCTTTGAATCTAGCTGTTAGTAAAGAAATCTGGGTCACAAGTAGGTGGCCAAAAGCTTTCTTCATGTGATGCTGCACTCTACCTTTTGCATTTTTCTGTGGTCTGAGCCTTGTGTGGATAGCTCACCCAATACTCTTTGAAAAATTGAGTCATTTGGGCTGAGGCCATTGAAAGGATCATTGAAGGCTGGAGTGACTTTTGCTCTTCCTAGACATGTGTAGACTGTTAAATGGAAGTTTAGCAAAGAATTTGATGAGAACTTTAGCTCCAATATATTACTAACTCCACTAGCAAAGATCGTTTCCAAGGCACTTACTTCTTTTTAATGAGATATCTATTGCTTGGGTAATTATCATAGAGGTGACACTGGTGCACTCAGAATTTATCACTGCTATACTTGGGTGTTAAAGCTGCATAAGGCCTGATCTTCAGTTTTGCTTTCCAATGTCCACCACTGTTCAGTGCTCATGGAGGTTCATGGTTAGAACAAGGAGGATAAGAAAGGGAATACTTTTTCCTAGTAAGATTTCTGAGGCTTTTTTTTCCCTCTCCCTTTGTACTTCATATTTTATTTACAGTTTCGAACAGATTCAAGAGAATGTATAATAAATGATTGTACTTCAGAGGGCTGTAATGAAAGCATGAATGAAAATACATGATGTATTAAGCTATACTGAATTTGATGTTGTATGCAGGGTAGATAAACACAGTTGTCTTCATACCAAATAATAATTAAACCATCCTTTTGACTCTGAAAAATGAAGTTCCAGTACTTTGACCTTGGAGTTGCTGAATCTGAATATAGGGAAGAATTTTATGTGAAAAAGCCTGTCCCAAATACTGCTTCATATTTTTACAATGCAAAGCAAGACCCTCATATTAATTGCATTTTTGACTGTGCTTTGTGTGATGGAGTTACTTAAAGTTATTTATTTGGACTGCGCAACGAAGTTGGCATTTTTTATTTACAGTGTAGTTCTAGCATTATTGCATTGCTACTGCCATAAAGTCAGCTTGAGACAGCAAAATATAAATCACAAGTGAAGACCATCGGAATCACGATCCTTTGATTGAAGCATGCTATAGAATTACCCATCTGTAGAAATTCTTTCTAAGAGTGTTGTTTGTTTCACAGATTTTTTTTTCTAACTTACTAAGCTTTAGAAACAAAATGGTAAAAATTAGAAAAAAGAACTCAAAACAAACCCAAACCACTTAGTATTAAGCGATTTCTGTTTGAGGCTGATGTTAACTAAGCACAGTTGAAATCTCATTTGATTTTTGAGTACAAGCATTTTCTGTCCCTCTGAATGGTTGCCTTAATACTGTAAATGTTACTGTGTTTAGCAACAAGTGAAAACCAGTTGAGTTTGGATATCTATTCTCAGTGCTGAGAAAAATAATCATGTAATTGTAAAGGTCATGTTTGCCTTCTTACTGTTATTATAATTTAGCTCTATGTAGAGCATAAGAAAGGAATAAAGGTCCAAGCAGTCTCTGCCCTGAAGAGCTACCTTTTTCCAACCAGGCATAACCTAAGCAGACATGAAGAAGAGAACACTGACAGCTAAACCTTATACAAGCAGTTAGACATGAGTGATATTTAAGGGTATGTGAACTTTTTACTTTTGGTTCCATCCTTCAACAAACTCTGGCCGCTTCTAGTTTCAAAGGCTTTCCAATCCGAGCAACTCACTGAGTATTCAGAGGATGGGCCAGGGGGACATACACAGATAAGAGACAGAGTAGAAGACAGAGATGTGACTGAAATAAATGTGAAAGTTATGACCACAAAAAATATTAAGACAACCCAAAACAAACAGATCATGCAGAAGGCTGTAGGACTATAACAGGACATCATGGATAGTGTGACTGGCTTCCGACTCAGGCTGTGTTCCTACTTAGACCAACCTCACTGTGAGGAATTGCTTCATATCTGACCTCCACAGAGCAAGGGGATCCTGAGTGCCTGTTTTAGATGGCTACTGTGTATATATCTCCACCTGATTTTAATCGCTGTATCCCTATAGTCAGTGGAGAGATCAGTGTATAGTTGGGGTGCTTTTGAACATCTACAGGAGAATGAGAGACAGCAGGCCCTGGAGTTGCACGTTTCTCTACACTGAGAATAAGCAGACCAAACAGGATGGGCTGAGAGGAATCACCCCTTAAGCTAGATGCAGAAAAAGGGTTATGAGGGTGATTTCTCTTGAGTCCAGAGCTGCAGCTCTGCAAGAATCCTTCTCAGCTATTTCCACAGCTGGTAAAATATCCTAAAGTAGCATTTCTCTGCCAGTGTTTTGTCACAGAGACTCTTCAGAGCATGTTTGACTTTTGCAGGCAGCATGATGTCTCCTCTGCTGCTTGGCCATGGTTTGAAAGGAATATAAGTTTCACTGGGTCTAGGACAGCATATCAAAGATAACACACATTTTAAACTGTTTGAGAGGCAGCACAAAGGTCTCTATTCCAGTCCTGGTTGTCAGAAAATTTTATCCAACATTAAATAGAAACATTGTTTTTTTTAAGTATAGATATTGCATATTTTTCTCTCTGAAAAACAACAGATTGAATGCAGTCCAATGTATCAGTCCAATGCATCAGGTGAGCAACAGTTCATTTTAAAGGGCAACTGCTTGCTTAAAGTAAGAAAGTAAAATCCCTACAAGTTTGTTGTTTTTCCACAGTATGGAAGTGGTGAAATTAGTAATTTTTACAATGTGTTTAATTATGCCCTGATAATTCAGGTGGCAAGATGCCAACACATTTATATTTTTGGCACCCAGAGCAATCACATGGGCATCATTATATTATTAGCCTTCATTTCAGACTGAGTGCAAGACCACACATGTTAGTGCTGGATATGTAGTAATGACGTTATCATGTAATAGACCTTTTTACTATTTTAGTGAAAAATTCACATATTTAGCTCTCTCAAAGATGTAATGGAAAGTTGACAGTCTGCTAATTAAAGGAGTAAATATGAGAAATGAAGTTATAATCCCACATTCTGGATGTCTCTGAATAAGTAGACAGAAACTCGTGCATTAGCCTATATACTGCTTTTTCTTCTTTTTTTCTGGTGTCATGTTCTTAGTGGCTTTGCTAGTGGGTAGGAGCCTGCTGTGGCTGGATTATTAAACCTCATGTGTCCAGGGAAGATTAATTATTTTATGTCTGCAGTGTCTTTTGTGAGCGTTCATAGGTTTCTTCAGGCTTCTAAAGGACTCTGGAGTATTTCAGCATGACCGTGGAGTTACACACTGTAGCTACCTTGCTGAGCACTTTGCAAGTCCCGTGGCATCACCTCCTGCAACTCTTGTGACTTACTGCAACATTTTATCTGACAGAACAATCAGACACAGTATCTGAGTGATTTAAAAACTACCTGAAAATACCGTTTGATTGCAAAAGGAGACTTTATTCTTGAATAAACTGAAGAAACTCTGTAGCGGCTGAGTGGAATAAACAGAAGCCAGGCAGCACTTAGGTCTAAGATTCTTTGAGAAACCTCTTGTATGTGAATCTTTATCCAAGCTACCAAAATAATTCTATTAATATCATTAACATAATATATTGTAAATAATGAGAACAGAATTTTGCCCATCTGGGTAACTTAAAAGAAACGAAGGTCAAAAAGAGTTAGATAATTAAGAATATTCCGTATGACTAATGTTGGATCTCTGCTAATGTAAGAATTAGGATATCAGCAGACAGATTATTTTTATTAATAATAATTTTTCAAATCTTTTTTCATAATATTTTTGTGTGTAAAGTAACATGTAACTGTACATGAATGTTTGCTGCCGCAGTTAAAAATCAAAATATTTAGTGAGTGGCCTATCACTTCTTTATAAGAGAATTAGAATTAGCTAATTGAAGAAAGCCTATATTTAGGCTCTTATGTGTTTTTTCTTCTATCTCTTTGCATGTCCCTGGAAAAAAAAAAAAAAGATATTAAGCTAATTTGTAATGTTAATTGTGTTTGGTGCATGTCATTGTTAAACAGTAACACACTACTGTTGTCAGCAAAGTGGAACAGACGCTGGTCTTTTGTTAACAAATACCTAAAGCAGGGACAGTTCCATTTATCTTTAGTTTTACACCAGTGGAGAGCTGTTTTGATTAAAATCTAGTATGATGTCTGAGCCCATTAAAAAACACCATCCATAACATCAAGTGCATAGTAGAAGGTATAATTTGCTTGAATAGTTAAACGATAAGAGTCAAAATACAGTCTTGTCCACACAAAGTAGGTAAAGACTTGATTTTTAGAGGGTTGGGGTTTTTTAAGATCTGTTTAACTTCACAAACATATGTAATTGTGAGTTTTAGCTGGATTTACACTCAGTAATTTGATATAATTAATTTAAATGTATACAAATGAGAGGAAAATCTTGATATATACTTTTAGCAGAA